AGAATTTATCCCATTTATTTTTATAATAACCCAATATTGCACGACTGTGAAGAGAATATTGCTCAACTAGCTTGGTTTGCCTGACTTTTGCCCCACTTTTGTTGAACATTTGCCCGACTTTTCGACTTTGTAATCTTTCTTTTTTTTTTTGGGGGGGGGGGGCAGCTGCCCCCCCCTGCTGCCCCCCCGTCCCGTACGCCTATGCTTGTAGTTGCCACAACATTGTTTTGTTTTCATATAAATATTAAAAATTTGACTGTGGTGATTCCTTCAGTGCTGTTTTCTTTTGTAGAATATATAGGAAAATGGAATGCACAAAAATGTATGACCCCCCAAAAATGGTTGCAGAATTTTATGCAACCCCCCATTTTCAAGTGCACAAAAAGGTATGACCCCCTCCCCATTTGCACCAGCCCCCCCCCTCTAATAAATGACCGGTCCCTTAGGGGCTGATTACATGGACCGGGCCAGCCCGGTTAACCGGGCTGAAAAATGTCACGAAAATCTTCCTTGGGCCGCAAAATGAGTTTTAAATCGGGTTTAGGATGATTTTGCATCTATAATAAACCAATTATTTATCGCAAATTTATTTTACACGAGTTTTAAAACCACAGTAAGGTCCTAAACAAACGAGTCAGCCCGGTTAACCGGGCCAGCTCGGCACCATGTAATCAGCACCTTAGTTAGAACTACTATTAAAATATAAGTTCTTTGGAACTACTAAATATAGTTTTATCATTACCTTATGTGGTAATGCTGCACTGTTTTTATTCCACAGTTTTGTTATTGGCATATTAATATCAATTTTTTTTCGGGAAAAAATGTTTCTGGACGAGTACCTTGTATAATGGACCATTTGCATTATAGATTAAATTTTGATCTTAACAAGTCTAGACAAATCAATCAATCACAAAATTAGTAATATTCCAAAGTTTCGTTGCGAAATGTTGTAAAATGCGGATAATATAGCCTTGCGAAATTTGCAATTTTCAGTCATTTTGTATTACAAACGGGAAATTGATGCCCCAACACCCGATTGGGCTGTCAATTTCCCGTGCGTAATACAAAATGACTGAAAAACGGCAAACTTCGCAAGGCTATATTATCCGCATTTTACAACATTTCACAAATATTACTAATTTTGTGATGCTCTTTCAAGCTGTGATGAAATTTTTGTCTAGATCAAAATTTAGTCTATAATGCAAATGGTCCATTGCTTTCCAGCGACTTTACCTAAATTTTTCATACCAAATTTCGGTACTTTGCCGAAAAAAAACAAATATCTTGCCCTATGCGCAGAAATAGTTCACCCAAAAAATGACTGGGGCCCAACAAAAAATTTCTAGGGGCCCCCAGAATCTGGGGGCCCGGGGCAATTTGCCCCACCGCCCCCTCTCGGCGGCCCTGAAAATAACTTAATTCATTAATGTTATACTGTGTGTTTGCTTAAACATTGATATGTTTAAAAATAATACACAAATAGAAACAAACTTTATATTAAACTATGGTTTGAATCACTATTAAAATAGACTCTCAGTTTGAATAATAATTAGCACAGAATCATTGTAAAAGAAATGGCTAACAATTAACAAACAACCAATCAGAGTCCGATTTTTGCTGGGGTTTCCCAGAGTCTCGGCAAGCTTCCACAGAGAATTGCAGGGGTTGATTACATGGTGCCGGGCTGGCCGGGTTAACCGGGCTGACTCGTTTGTTTAGGACCTTACTGTGGTTTTAAAACTTGCGTAAAATAAACTTGCGATAAATAATTCGTTTAGTAGAGATGCAAAATCATCCTAAACCTGACTCAAAACTCATTTTGCGGCCCAAGGAAGATTTTCGTGACTCATGTAATCAGCCCCTTAGGGTTCGAGATTGGTTCTCAGCACCTTAGGGGGTCTTTACCTATACAAAAACGCGCCAGGAAGTACATGAATGAGGGGGCAAAAATATAGGTAGTATACACGGCGTGCCCCATAACAACATGTTTTCATTGAGGTTATTAGAGTTCCTATTTATAGGTCGCTGTAAATGACTTCAAGTGTCAGTAGTTAAATGAAGAACATACATGCAATATAATAATGATCTTAGTGAACTTGAAAGAATATGGGATAAATACTCAGCTGTACATGAGAGTAATTAAAAACTAAGTTCTGCACGCAGAAAATATTTAACCATTTAATAGAACAATATAAACATGGCGGTTTACTTCTTGTTATCCAATGGTTATATACAGAGAAATTAACTCTCAGAAATTGCATCGATTGTATAGTGGTTATACAATCATTTTTAAAAAATTATTTTCATTATATAGAGTTTTTTATGAACAGGTCCAACAAGGGTGCAATATCATTTATATAAATATTTACATAGCGCGCGAAGCAGCACGGTTGACTGTGGTTTTTTAAAGACTGATTAAATCTATTGGTCTGAAATTGACTACCATGCATGGTGCCCTATATAATACTCATCGAAGCCTTACAAAAGTCGTTGGCATAATAACTTTTTTAACTCATGCATCCGATTCAATGCAATATAGAGGTGGTTAAAAAGAGACTAGTAAATCCTAAATTGCACCATTTCGCTAATTCAGATTCCATTACTGTAAAAACATACAACTATTTCATTCAAAATTCGGCACCAAAAAAGTTTGGAATACAATTTTATTCTCTTATATTATAAGGTATATGCATGATCGCGTGAACGAACTCTGCAATTTTAAAGCCTATGTTTTTTGTCGCGTCTCAAATACTGTAATAAAATATAATTAATGTATGTGGGCGGAAAATATTGACCTCCTGTATTGACCATTATGGTTCAACCAAGGGCAGCTAGGCGTTTACGTACTTAATTATCAATAAAGTTAACGAATATACGCATCAATAAAGGCAATAGTGAAATAAATAATTGAATAATCAACACATAATTGTCTTCGGATTTCCCACATTTTCAATGAGATGAGATTTTTAGATCTGTCAGAATCTTCATGAATTGAATTATTTGTTAATGTTTAAATTGCCTTGCTAATTAATAAATCTTTTTCCTATGCACCTCGTACGATATAGCTTGTGGGCACTTCTTCTCTAACGAGAGTAGAACGTTCTAAACACTAGATTAACTGAGCCTTTGCGCGGACATATTGGTGTGAACCTGGATGTGACCTCACAACCTCGTTTCCAGGGCTTTCGGTGACCGCATTTTAAAATTATTCACAGGCAAATTTAAGAAGAATGGCATGCCACTGATGACGAATTGTTTCTGGACAATATTTTGTCCTTTCCTGCCAATCACCAAAAACAGTAAGAACCTCTTCTAAAGGCCCGTTTACACGGGCGATTTTTGCTGCGATTTTAGTTGCGATTTTCTCTTTTTGCTGCAGGATCTGAAGGAGTATAGATTACTTAATGTAATAATGATGATGTTGTTATGAGATTCCATAACCTGGAACATTTATAACTCATCAACTCCTTCACGTCCTCTAAGCAATATATAAAGCAGCAATTTGTAATAGAGTTTAATATATAGTTTTAAGAGTTCTTTCAAATACACTAAACTAATATTTTATAGCTAATGTCCTTCAAGATTGGAAAAGATCAAACGAGAACGAGAGTGCATGAGAGTTGGCAGTCACGCGATCTTGGTTTGCTGTTCTTAAGTTTTCCCAACACTATCATGTATTCTATTTACGTTGAAACATAGCTGGAACATTCAGATCATCATACTTTTATCATGTTAATCTAGAGCTTGAAATGTCGCCCTGTGGCAATTCGTGACTGACTCATCAACTTTCGTTTGACTGGGGTTTTAAAGGACACAGATTTCAGAATTATAAGAGCCCTCTCGATGATAAGGGAATTTTAAGTGGCACTTACTTGCAATGAATTGCACACTTAATTCTCAAAGATTGAAATTGTGAAGTATTTCCACTCATTAACTGTTTCTAGGGATGAATAATAATTTGAAACATTTATAGTGAGTAAAGTACTAAAAGCGAAAAACTGAAAATCAATACTGGTTCAATCTAGGAGGTCGGTATATCACATACACTCGAAGCAGTTTACTACAGTTACTAATCACATCAATGCGTGATAAAAGTTTCAGTATAGAGGCTAGAGCTAGGGCCTCTACTCAGCAGGCGGCACTTGTAGTCTTCTCACGCGAACAAGCACTTAATATATGCATGATTATAGAAGGCCCCAAGTCGACGCTGGGTTAGAGCCTTGTTTTCCAACACACTTTTTCCAAGCCACATGTAATATACTCCACGTGTATTATATGATGAAAATATTTGTTCACACTCTTGATCAGACTGAGAGGAAGGAAATATTCAGACTTGAGAGCGATTGTACGAAAACACCGTTTTATCAAAGCAAGGAATTAAATTAACAGGTTTGGGAAAGTTTGGGCATTTCACAGCTAGTCTATCGTTTGCGGTCATGGAGGGTAAAACTGATGGTAGCTCGGATCTGCCTATTTTTCACTCAGAAAAGAGATTTAGACTATACTGCATGGGAATGGGATTTGCACCAGCAATTTCGCTGCTAGGAATGGGAATTGGCAAATCAGTGGGTCGGGTGACAGCTGAGATTCAGGCAAAATTTTGGCTGTAGAAATGGGATTGAAACGCCCCATTCCGCCTTCAATTTCACGATCATCCTTGAAACATGCACAGCATGCATGCACATTGTACTTAACTTGGATGATCTCTGCTTTACATACAGCTAGGGGACTTCGAAAAACGCAGGGAGGGGGACGAGGGTTTGATTTTTAAGGGTTTAGTGCCTTTCAAGAAATGTAGAATCATTGTAACCAGTGAGTTATTTAGAGAAAAAAGATCCCACTCCATTGTATAAGAACGGTTAGATGAGGCTAAAAACCATAACATATAGCAATTCTAAAATCATCACAATTTTCCGGGCAAAGCATCAACTATCGAATTGAATCCACTTCATGTATTGTGTGTATGTCATGAAATATACTTTCCCTGAGAATCCATGTTTTCATCCCTTAATTTTTATGACTTATTCTTCTTCAGGTTTGGCCTTTGCGATGCTTGCCTCACTACCACCAATCACAGGTCTTTATGTTGCCCTACTTCCTGTCTTTGCTTACGTTGTCATGGGAACATGTAAGCATCTCTCAGTTGGTGAGTTCATTCTTGTGTACACTTTTAATTTCCGCGCAATTATATGATGATTCTAAAAATAGTTTAAATACAGGCGCAGAATCAATATACCCAAAAATACACTGCACTTCTGATTGGAATTTAATGTATTTCTTGCATGTTCGAAGTTGGTTTATTTATTAATCATAAATGAAACATCATCTTTTAGCCTTTGACGATGCTCGCTTATTCGGGCATGAAACGTTATGCTATCTGTCCGCATATTTTCATTTATTTCACCTTAGACTTAGTTCCAGGTCTCCACAAGCAATCTTTAAGAGTCGACATTTAATCACGTGGATACAAAAGGTCAGGGCGCTTGAGATCATGCTCGGAATAAACCAAGCGCCCTGGAATAAACAGTTACCAAACTCTCACTTCTTGTTGGCGCTTTCGATGTTAGCATATAACCGCCGCCAAGCCATGATCACAGAATAAAGATCAGTAACAGACGGGCCACTTACGTCGGAAGCTTTGACGTTTCTGTCCTCGCGCATGTCGCATTACGCATGTTGGCCGCCATTTTCCTAGCCAGTCAATGACATTTTCTGGCTAATAACCACGCTGTACTTGCTGGCTGCTCCGCCTTCTGGCCAGTAAACTGCATATTTTTGCATAAAAAACGAGGACACGTTGCACCACTGAGTTGCCCTTCTGTTACTGATCTTTATTCTGTGCCATGATTCGCCATCGCAAAGCAAAGCTTTTGTTTAGAACCGTCGTAAGCAAACGCAAACATGCGATGAAATGTAAGAAATGGTTCACAAATTAATCACAATTACACTATAACACCCAACGATAAGCCGTTTGTGCTTTTAAGGCAAACGCTTTGTAATAAAATATGTTTATATAAAAAAAAACACTTTTCTTACAATTCCCAGTACAGATATGATCTATAGACGGGTATTTCAAACAGCCAATGAATAAATCGCACAATTGAACATAAAATTGAATAAAATGACACCCCAATTCACGAGTTTTTCAAACAGACAAACACTATCATGCACAACAACAGTCCGAAGAACCAGTGCAGCTATTTCAGGTCTTTGATCAATTTACCCCGTTTTATCCAAATTGCACGAGAAGTAATTAGTATAGGTAATCATGCGATGGCGAGTACAATTAGGGATTAATGACATTAATAGTACGAGTGTGTTTGGAAATTTTGCAAAAATTGGACCAGCCGCCGGGGCGAGTAAATGAAGTAATAAAAAAGTAGGCAATCCAAAATCGACCAAACAGTTTTTAATGGATTTTTTACTTTTTAACCACTCCAGGTACATTTGCGGTCGTAAGTATAATGGTTGGTAATGTAATAGACGGAAGGATAAGTGGTCACTATGCTGCATCGCAAACTAACATCAACGGATCCATGTTGAATGAATCCACACCATTGACTGAAATGTCGGGAGGGTGGAGTGCAGAAGATAAAGAGAAAATTATATTATCGGCTACCTTGTGTTTGGTTGTTGGAATTATGCAGGTGATACAGAATTTTATCAGTAGACGAATTTCACGATTATAACGGGCAATTTTCAATTTTTTTATCCCACTACAAAGTGACTGCTTTAGCATAGAAAAGAACATATCATAAATAGCAAGAGTGTATCAGTTGAAACGAATCGTGAAAAAAAGGGAGAAGCTGCAAACAGTTCTTTTTTTCCCTTCTAAAGGGCATGTAGATGTTGCATTGAAAGTTGCAAGCAATATATATTGTCTTGTGTAAAGTCACTTTTCCATTCATCGCAAGAGTCGACTCACATGCAAGCTCGCTGCGAGTTCGTTCAAGCAATCACAATGTTAATTAGATGCAAGCACTCGCAGCGAGTTGGTTTCTGCGATGAGTAGAAAAGAGCACTAACACTCCTAGTTTGCAACTACAGTAACAACAAAAAATTGCGTTGCGAGTTTGAGAAAAAGTTGCATTTGCTCCTACTTTCCATAATGATGCGCGACAAGTTGCAAACCCCATGCATTGTAACTTGTTTCGCAATTGATTTTGGAAAATTGATCAAACATGAATCAGAAAAATTCTTGTCGATAATTACGTTACAAATCTTTCCTTGGCCTGGAAGCCTCAATTGTCTTTCGTGTTCCATACTTGTTCATTTAACGGTTATTGTAACTGCATGAGTCAGCTGAATATTAAGTTAATTAAAAATAACTCTACTCTACTCTGTGTTTTAGAATAAAGACTAACTATAAGACTGGATTTTTAAATGAGAAATTAAGTAAAAATGTGACTGAAGTCAAGGCAGAGAGATGAAAATATGAATTTGCCGTCTCCGAAAAAAATGCATGTATGATCATATATGAGAATTATAACAATAAGGACACAGACGGACACGGGCCCTACGCTTGGACGACCTGCAAATTGCTGCACCTGAAACTCAAAATTAAAATCCTTAACTTTTGAAAATTATGTTTAATTAAGGGCTGATCTATACTGACTTCTATTCCTCAGATTAATTTATCGTGTTTATCACTTTTAGACTGCTATGGGTTTTCTACGACTTGGATTTATAACAATATTCCTATCTGATCCTTTAATAAGTGGTTTCACAACAGGAGCGGCTTGTTGGGTTTTTACGAGTCAAATCAAACACATAATAGCTATATATCCAGAACGATATACTGGGCCTTTTGCCGTGATAAAGGTACGTTATAAACAAACAAATTCGTTAATATCAGCTATCGTTTGTGCATGTTTACTATATACTCCGCCCTGACCTAATGTGTCCATGCATGTAGTTTTGGAGATATAGGCGTTTCTGTCTAGTTATTGCGGGATGATTTCATACTGATCAATTAAATGTCATGCAAACAGCGAAAACAGAACCATGGGCGTAGTACGGGAGGGAAAATATAAGGGCGGGGAAGGGGGAATGGGGGGAGGGAGCCGGGGAATCACTGAGGCAGACAAAAATTTTCCCGACTACTACAACGTCTGTGAGCAGGCTAGACCTTGGTTCATATTGGCCGATCAATCAAACTTTTCTGTGCTAAACTTTAGATTATCTTCTCGATTTTCAATTTATTTCTCCCATTTTTTGTCAAACTTACGTTGAAAACTTGCCCAACTTATCGAGCTTTCAACCCGCCTTGTACGCCTATGGCTATGGAGACAACGCTAGTAAAACAAAACCCGCGAAATCGTTCCGTTTTTACTTCGTCTGGCCAGCTCTCATACACGCATGTAAGCAAGAATATTCTACATTCAACTGAATTATTAATATAAATTAAATTAAGTTTATGAATTTATTTTTTATATTTTTTTGATAGACCTATATCTCCATCTTCAAAAGCATTTCCGACATCAACTTCACTTCACTCATAATCGGAATCCTCTGTACTCTTATACTCCTCCTTTTAAAACACATCAATGAAAAACATAAAGACAAATTGAAATTTCCAATTCCAGCCGAGTTCATAGTGGTCGCACTTTCAGCCGGCATATCTTACGGAGCAAAGCTGAAACAAAATTATCACATAAAGATCGTAGAATCCGTTCCGCGTGGCTTGCCTCCTTTAAGCATCCCGCGCACTGACCTCATACCAGAAATTATCGTCGATGGTTTCGTTATTTCCGTTGTCGCTTTTGCGGTCAATATTTCACTCGCGAAGTTATTTTCACAAAAGCATGGTTACCCTATTGATGCTAACCAGGAACTGCTGGCATATGGCGTGCAGAATATCGTTAGTGGATTCTTATCGTGTTTCGTATCGGCTGGGTCACTTGGTCGGTCGTTGATTCAAGACAACCTTGGCCGAACACAGATTACAAGTGTTATATCATGCGCTATTATATTACTTGTTTTAACAGTCTTGGCTCCATTATTTGAACCTTTGCCGAATGCAGTTTTAGCTGCCATAATTATCGTCGCTATACGACGGTTGTTTAAAAACTTTATGCTTGTGAAGCAACTCTGGAGAGTAAACAAAATCGACGCTCTGACGTGGGTTGTCACATGGACGGCAGTTATTTCATTCGGTATAGATTTAGGTTTGGGTATTGGAGTAATATTCCAAATTTTGTCTCTCACTTATCGACTATCGAAGCCGAAATTTTGTATTCTTGGGGAGGTTCGTGGGATGGTCGGTGTTTATGACGACATCAATCGTTACGAGGATATAATGGAGCTGCCCGGCGTAGTTATAGTACGCTTTCAGTCGGCTTTGTGTTTTATTAACGCTGAGCGGTTTAAAGAAAAGTTGCAGAAAAGCATTTTTCTCAAATACAGAACAAGAACAGCAAAAAGTAAATGTAGTTATCCAAGGCGATTCTATGAAGAAAAGATGCTCAGCCGTGATGCCAGTAACAGTAATGAGGTATGCCTGCTTAACTATAGCTACATTTGTGACTTTCTTCAGAATAGGTTATCATATAAGGTAATATAAGATAATAGGTTATCATATAAGATAATAGGTTATCATATAAGGGATGAGGTGATATCAGTTTTATCGCTCGAGGGATGATATCACAATTGTCACGAGCGAGCGCAGCGAGCGAGGGACAATTGTGATATCGTCCCGAGAGCGATAAAACTGATATCACCGAATCCCGAGTACGATAACCTATTTATTATATACTTGTACCTTTATCAGGGTTTGACACCCAAAAGTAAACAGTTTTGAAAAAATAGGATCATTTTAGAATTCAAAAAAATTGATCATTTACTGAACAAATATGATTTTAGAAAATAAATAGACCATTCATATAAATAATATACAATTTAATTCTTTCGTTTTGTATTATCGTTCTTGTTTCCTTCGATAAAACTGTCGACATATAAACCAACACGAACTTCGAGTCGGCCATCTTTGTTTTGACAAGGCGCGAAATTTAGCGGGACAAAAAACGATATCCGGGACAAAAAACGATATCCGGGATAGGGTTGGGCGATATTTCGATATTTTGATTTATCGCGATATTTTCAAACGCGATTATCGTATCGAAGGTAGAAACTTGAGCAACGATATATCGAAATTATCGTCATGCTCGTTGACTATCGTGATATTGCTTTGCATGTGTATATAGCTTTTATAAAATCCTAAAAAATTCCTTCAATTTCTAGAAAATATATAGTTTTTAAAAGAATTAAAACTATTTCCTGAATTAAATACGAATTTAATACGATATAAAAGCTAATATTTATGTCAGATTAATCGGCTAAACAATGAAATCGCATGCTATGCTTGCGCTGTGTGCCCACGGCATTTGTGCCAGCGGAGACACAGTAGACACTGCATAGACAGTTCAGGTTTATGAACAGTAAATATTAGAGAAGAAAAAGCTTTCTTGTTACTTTAATTTGCTGTTTTACTTGTGATTGTTTTTATTGCATTTATCGCGATATTATCGAATATCGCGATAATTTCCTCCACAATAATCGTGAGATGATTTTTTTAATATCGCCCAACCCTAATCCGGGACGATATCGTTTTTATGTCCCGCTGCTTCCTACCTGATAAAAGTACAAGTATGTGATAAATATATATATATATATATATATATATATATATATATATATATATATATATATATATATATATATATATATATATATATATATATTTCGGAATGTGAAATTCAACTAATTTAAAAACATTAAAAAATTAAAAACTAAGTTCATTTACTCGAGTTTCACGCCTATATTGGCGATCATCAGACTACCTGTCCGTATTAAGACGTTCTTATTTATACCTATTTTAAACTATTTAAAATTAGCATATATCTTTACATAATTACAATCAAAACCAATTATTTACGTTACATTACTAGCATAAAATTTGTTTTCGTGCCGGCATTTTGATACTAATTCTGATCGTTTGTTTAGAAGAGTTCCCTTGTGAGCGTTTAGAATTGCCATTTTTTCTGCCAGGCACAGTTTACAAACTCTTGTTCCACTTGCGTACGGTTTAGCCTGCTTCAAAATTGACCATTTAATTTCGTAATCCCTTTTCGTTTTCTTCAGGTCCCAAATTAATTTTGATAGCGCTGTTTTGTTTGCATAGTCTTTGTTCTTAAATGATAGCGTATGGTTGTAAAACCTCGTTTTGAATTCCGATTCCGCCATGCCGACGTAAATCTTAGGGTCGTCGTCTTTTCCTGGTTCAAATACTTTCGCTTGGTATATTGTAGCTGTTGTTAAACATTGGTTATCTAATGGGCAGTTATTCTTGTTTCTACAATTGCATCCGGCGCTGCTTGCTTTCTCGTTGTTCAAAACTTTTTTGTTATGTCCTTTAATTATGCTGGCCATATTATTCATGCAACTATAGCTTATTTTTATTGTATTTCGGTTAAAGATTTTTCTTAATGTGTTGCCATGTGGGAAATGTTTGTCAACAAGTTCCAAAACTGCTCTGCCGACATTTGTTAGTACATTTGCTGAGTATGGTGGATTAAACCAAATAATGTTCCGCGCTCTATTTTTGCGTGGATTTTGCAGTGTTGGTCTGGGCAAGTATTTTAATTGATCATCAAAACCGCTCTCTTTAAGGGCTTTGTTGTAAATCGGGGCTGCTTTATGGAACTCCTCGGCATTGCATGACAGATCGGAAATTCGTTGACTAATTGATGTAGGTGCTTGTTTAATGATTGGTGGTGGGTGATTTGATTGTACGTTGATGTAGAGTGGGGTATTGTCTGGTTTCCTATAGGGCTTGTAAGAGCCATTGTTTAAATCAAAAGTGACATCAAGGTAATTTACTATTTTCTGGTTTGTCTGTATGGTAAT